CGAGAAATAAAATCGATGTGAAACATTTAATTCCGGGACATGATGCCTGGCCAGTATTGTCGTACTTCTCTACCACCAACGAACGAAGAATGGGCTACAGGAAGATTCAGCTTGACAAAGACGTCCCCGATGAGACTACCTTAGTGGACCGGCAAGGATGCTAAATTCTCGGACATATGGAATTTCCGGCGCCGAGTATAAATAAACCGAAATAGAAAGAAAGAAAGAGATTTCCTACTTGTTACGGAAAATTTGTATTTCGCACCCTCAGTTAATTACTGTAAATACCCGATAATACCAAATAATCGATTCTTTTTGTTTGCAATATTACCCAAACGATAATAAACAAATAGCAAAAGAATACTTTATAGACATGTACTACATGAATAAATACATGTACCATGTACATAATATATTGTTTAATAAAATGCCCGCATTAAATAACCATTTACTAACCGCTGCAGTAAAATATCGGTTACACCGGTAACCAGTGAAAAGTATGGCTTTTTCACGGCAAATTTCCCCGTCCAAACAAGTCAGCAAGTTGTTGCTACTTCGCTTTTAGCGAACTTCGGATATAACGAACGATATTTTAATGTCCCATTGAGTTCGTTATAACCGGAGTCGACTGTATTTGGTCAATGAGTAACTTTTTGAAACAAAAATTATAACTTTTAAAAATTGAAAAAGAGTACTATCATTAAGGCTTGAATATCTGTAATGCCATTTTTCCGAGTGTTTAATGGGGGAATAATACAATTATCATCACAACAGTGTTAGTTTCATGTTTGGCTTTTAAAATATTAAAACGGCCAGCCAATAATACTTTAAAATACTTCGATTAAGCTTAGAAACTTGGTGTGAAGAGGAAAGGAATATATTTTAAAATGTCACAACTGTTAGACATAATAGATATATCAAAATATTCCACCAACAGTCACCTTGGGTCTTCCTTCATCAGTAAAAAGACAAATGAACACTTAACTATCAATGAACAACTCTTTCAACTGCCTTTAAATTTTATATCATCACATAGTCATATAGTCATCAATAGTACAAAGGGAACTATTTATAGGAGACAGTTGGCAAACGAAACATAAGAAAATAATTTTATTACGGGAAACATAGAGGTCATGATACAATAAAATTTTAAATACAATTTAACAAAACAATTAAGACAATATACAATAGGTTTACATTTAAAGCAAAAATAGAATGACGACCCGCATGGTCAGGACGGAACGGAAACTATTATGACACATATTTGACAACCGCAATATTAAAATAAATACAGGACACTAATAATGTTTCAAAAGGATGGGAGAAAATTGATTGAATCATATCAATTAGTAACATTAGAACTACATTTTGGCAAATATTAGACATCAGAATTTAATTACAACACAAGTACCATACGTTACATTTTAACGAAAAATAACCGACGACCCGCGTAGCCAGGGCATCGCAACGTGAAATTTTATTACACATGTGGACAATTTGAAATTAAAATATTTATAGAATCAAAGGAACCATACAGTATTTTTTGGAAGAAAGTAATTTTTATTTATATACATGTTAGTAACACTGGAAATATTTTTCACACAAATATTAGACAACATATTTTAATAACAACACAAATTCAAAATGTTAACATTTTTTAGCGAAAAATGAACCGACTACCCGCATGGCCTGAAGATCGCAGCAAAAATTATTTTAACATATATGATAACCGCAATATTAAAATAAAAAACAGGACACTTATAATAATTTTTTGGATGAGAGAAATTTGATTGAAACATATCAATAAGAAATACAATTTAACAAATATTAGACAATGCAAGTACATATGTTTACATTTTAGCAAAAAATAACCGACGACAACACGTACTTCTGTACGCACATGTAACTCCTCAATACATGTCTCCTGCCATTACACCAAAACTTCCACAAAACTATAATTCGAGAGCTTAGATTTTTTATTTATTATAACGTCGGTCTGGCAAAATACCTAAATACTTTTTCTTCGAATTGCTGTTACGTAACGCATCTTTTAAAAATGCAGCTAAACCGACTTCGGATGATGATGTTTTTGTTGATATGTCGAAGTTTTCCCTTTCTCCTCTTTAAGAGCTTCACATGTGTGGATGTGTCATGTAAGCATTCTGAAACTGGAAACGGTGATCTGTTCCGAAACATACAAAATGACTCCAAAATATTTTGTCACCAATGAAATACTCATATATTATGTAGATGTATATATCTCCAAAATTAGGCGAAGTGATTAATTGGACAACCTGATAGTTTTATTAACTTTGAGCATATAAATGGTAAGTCAAAATTAAGAACAAACAAGGGTTGCAGTCGAATAACATATCCCTAGCCATTGTCATTGTAGAAAATGCTATTACTTTATGTATATTTCAAATCCATTTATATTCCACGGTCATAATATAATGACTGGGGGGTCATTATCTTATATAGATAATGAGCAGGGGTCATTATTTTATGAGGTCAGTTTACAACGATAAATAAGCAATGAATGATATTTTTTAAACTCACGCTTCCTTTCCTCTACCAGTTTTAAGTTAAATTTTTATATACATGTATCTAAATTTTAAGTCTTTGATACTCAAAAGAGGCACAACAATGAAAACATCTTAATTAAAGACACTGCGAATGATTTAACATTTATTCCGGTGAAAAATACACAAAAACACAATAATAGCAACAAAAGTAAACAATAAGACAACTCAATGCATTGCATTAATTTCTTTGTCTAGCTAATGTGATGTAACAATGATTTTCAATAGCTTTGGAGTCAAATATAGTCGAACATGGCGCACTGAAAATGTTTGAATGAGCGTGTACGCTGACGGCAATGGAAATGTATGCTACCGGCCACATCCAGTAGGACCGGAATAATTCAACATTAAAATAAGAAAATTACGCACAATAAATATTGTAAGAACCATCATCAAATGTCTTCATACGGAAATGACCATAAAATTGTCATGTTAAAGTTTTGATGTTTTGTCCGAAAGTAAAGGAATGCATGTGCTTAAACGAGAAAAAATTAGATAGGACTGATTGATGCATATTTGCGTCTCCCAAATTTATTCCTTCGCCATCTGTCTGTCTTTCTGTCTGGTTGTCCGTCCCTCCGCATTAAGCTTGTCCGAGTTTCACAGATCAAACTACTGGTAGAATATCAACCAAACTTTACAGTACCATCCGTAATTGAGCACATCACACGTTTCGATTCGCTGCAAAAGAGCTAAAATTTGAAAAATCTTGCCCAATTTTCACAGGTCAAGCTGCTGGTGGGATTTCAAGAAAACTTCACAGGAGTGATGAGTACCATCCATAGCTGTGAATATCGCCAGCACGTCCCTTTTCGCTGCACAAGATGACCACCAGGGGTAAAATAGAAAGGTCAAACTGCTAGTTGATTTCAACCAAACTTTACAGGAGTGATCTCTACCATCCCTAGATGTGTATATCGCCAGAACAGGCGGCTCCGCTGCATAAAATAGCCACCAGAGCTATAACATCTTGTCCGGCTTTCATAGGTCAAACTGCTCGAAAATTTCAAGGAAACTTCACAGGAGTGATCAGAACCATCCCTATTTGTGCATATCACCAGCACGTTCCGCAAAATGGCGGCCAGAGCTATAAATAGAAAAATGTTGTTCGGCTTTCACTGGTCATTTTAATGAAACTGCACAAGACTGATCTGCTTCGCTGCACAAAATGACTGTCAAAGCTAACAATAGAAAATTCCTGCCTAGCTATCACATGTCAAAATGCTGGTGGGATTTCGGCCAAATTTCACAGGAGTGATCAGAGCCATACATTTGTTTTGGAGACATTTGTTTCCTCCTAGTTTGACCTTGTTTCTTCGACGGACTTTCCTTTGGAGTGTAATCAATAATCAATAACAGATCCTTTTGATTCGACAAGGATAACCTTTGTTATCAAGTATAGACATTGTATCAGACAAACCGCATCAAAAATTTGTACTGACAAGCACTTGTTAGAGTAACTAACGTAATGAACATTCCGCAAGATTTTGATGATATAATGTGAACGTACACTTTTTAAAGTATAAATATATAGCATTTATAAATATACACATAAAACAACAATTTCAACAGTAAGTCGCCGAAGAAACTGACAGAGCATCGAAACAAGAGGCTATCTGATTTGTACGAGGAAGACATATATTTTATATCACACAGTTGTTTCACAAATGAACATAAAAATCGATTTCTTTATTATTGAATATATTGAATTTCATCAAATACCAATACAAAAAATTGATGGTTAACTAACAACCATAGATATGTTGTTTTGGGTTTTTTTTTTCGTTTATTTGAAAATAATAAACTGTCTGCTAAAGTCGTGTTTTAGTAGTGCTAGCAAAATACACATTAAGATGATTTGTTTTTAAAAAATATCAAATTTTTATTTTTACAAAAGCTGTTAAAATCAAATGACATTTTAACAAACAAAATCTGCCAAACAATTGAAATAAAATAAAAATCTTCCATAACTTAGGTAGACCTAAAATGTTTGCCTATTCTCGTATACTTCAGGTCTGCCTTAAACTTATGTTATATATATTTCTGTAGTTTGTTACATATACATTTGTAATTTGTTATATATATTTCTGCATTTTGCGTCTCCAAAATCCCCGAGTAAAGTTTACATAGTAGGTTTGACCTCCTGAAGTTAAATTATAATCTTAGGATGATCTGCAACTGTGTTTGCACAATTATCCGCATGGCTTTCACAGCGGTATTGTTTATATGTAACATTGGTAGAGACGTTTTTAACATCATGAAATGATTAATACAAGTTCACGCATTCCCGAGTCCATTTTCATGCATTCTCTACTTTCACGATTCCATCTTTAATTCTGAAAGCTTAAATTTCACTCTTGCTATAAAGCATAGTGATACATATAATAAAATTGTTAGTTCTTTTGTCTTGAACTACCTGAAAACACTTTTATTTAGAATTAAAGCATATGCGTAACATTAACAGAAAGCATCAATATCAAAGTATTACGGGTAACAAAGTATTACGTTACAGAATATAACAGATTCACATTACATTCTGCAATTATTTAACAGACCGGGTAGTGAACATTGATAGTTGTTAAAGTTGTAAATGATACTTTCAGATTTATAATAGTTTACGTAATTACTTCTTCCGTTGACTGGCTTGCTGTTACGGAGCACCTTGCTCTCGCATGCGTACATGTAATCTAAAAACAAATTAGTTTCTTCAATAAATTCGTCGGACAGATCTTCCAATGGAATGCATTCTAACTGCTGCAGAACTTTTCTTCCACCTGGCCTATCAAAAACAAAGCACTTGCGTTTACAAAAATATTTCCAAATACATTCCCGTGGTCTGTTATATTTAATTGTTGTACTATCGTTTTCTTGCTTAAGTTTAAGACAATCTTCAAGATAGACATCTGGAGTGATTTTATTGCCATCTTTTTCTAGCTCTAAAGAAAAATCTCTAAGACAAGGAACAAAAGTTGGGAGAATCATTCCAAGCTGTTCGTCATCGACGCTTTCTGTCCTGTTCCGGAATCTTATATTTTTCGACATTTCTGTTATAAATCTTTAGGTCCAATGTAAGTAAAGTAACCAATGTTATCACACTTATGTCCTTTTGTTTTAATATTTTGATTATAAAAAATTATTTAAGTAATATGAAAGTGGAACCTTTAAAATGAAAGAAAACAGCACATTGATTAACTCTTATGGCACACGCAGATTGTAAAAAAGGTGAGTTTACCCTAGAAAACTCACATGAAGCTCTAGCCTAGAAGATTTTAAAAATAGTTCCTCTTTTTTCCTATAGTAATAAATCTAAGTAAAAGGTGACCCAAAGCGAGGTCAATTTAGACAACTGTTATGAACAAACGTGGTATAAGTCTTTACAACATTATCAAATATCTTAGCACTAGGCATTGGGCTTTGGATATTTTAAAAGGTTTCCTTCAAGAAACTCCGAAAATGAAGTAAACAATGGGCCGGGGTCAATTTGACCCAAGACCATAATTTGTACGATTTTTAAAGTGGAACACACAAAAAAATGCTGCACATGTTTTTTTAATTCTTGGCTTTAAAGATAAACAGAAGTTTTAAAGATTTCATTTCTGTAGAATCAAAAGACCATCGGGACGGGACCAGTTTTTAACCAAGGGTCATAATTCTAGCAAACGTGATGGTTTATTAGACAATTACACCAAATATCTAAGCTGAATGTCTTGTGCTTAGAGAAAATATTCTTTTCCGCCTATAGGTGGCTTTGTTCAAATCAAATTTAGCATGTGGAGTGGTATCTAAGGAATCATTGTAAATGGGTAATAGAATACGATTAATAGCCAACGACGATAATAAAAGCTCATCGTGTGATCAGGTGAGATGTTATTGGAATTGATTCCTAATTTTGGAATGAAACTGTTTTGGAATAAATAAAAACCATACACAAAATACACAAGAATTTCGTGTTATAAAAAATATATATTCACTGCAAAATTAATTTCATTTCTTAAATTTCTGATATTATACCTTCAAACAAACAAAAAGAAAAATTGAAAATAACTCTACATAGGTATGATTTAGGAAAAATAAATAAGCAAAGCGAGAAGTAAATAAAATCATTGAAGATACCCTCCAATTGAAAAGAAAAATGTTTGTGTTTTAATTTTCCTGTTCATGCGCTAAAATGGAAATCAAACCGATAAGGAGAGTGAGACAATGTTCGTAGGAATAAGGTTCTTGATAGACTATATAGTTATATGATGGTTGTATACAATTTAACCCTCGTCCAGCGGTTCGACTAATATATATGTAAACAACCGTAAATACAGGGTCATATTATCTGTCAAACATTTTTATAACAAACAAGGTGGATTAGTTTGGTAGAAGGCCTTTGAAAAGTCAATCGCAATTTTGCAACTACGTAAGTACCGGGAACCATATAATAAAGGATACGTCAGTTTATCTACAGCATCTTGGTTGAAGGTTGACATCATGTTATAGACTAAGACATTACATAGCAGCACCGCAAGCGTAAATATTCTGTTATCATGATCCTTGTCGCCCTGTAGAAAATTTGATATATGATCATGATCATTATCAAAGAGGAAAAAGACTACACAATTGTTTTATTAAATGTTACTGAACATCAAATAAGTAATTCTCTATTTTCTTTAAAGGTACAAATTATAATTATGTGCATATTTGTCATATCTGTTTCTGTTAGGAATTGTAATGTTTGTTTTGATTATAATCAATTCATATACAATACCTTCGAAACATCTCCTAAACCCTCTGTATCTAGAAGGACAAGAACAGTGTTGTCTTTAAGTGGATGATCCTTACACCATATCCAGATTCCCTTTGTTTTGGACTCTATAGTCTTTCCAAGCGGAAACCCTGACATAATACAACGTTTTGCTTTCAAAACATATTGAAGTGGCGATGCAGTTTTCAAAAACTACTAATATCGATTCACGGGTTAATGTAAAAACACGCAAAAACTTTATCAAATCATCTCTTGTTTAGCAGAAAAGACTCATGTCGCAATCCAAATCACCAAAACAAAAATCTGCACATATTTATATATTGCGTTAATCATTATAGAATTGACAATTACAAAGGTAGTGCATTTATTTTATGTATCGGGACTTTCCCTTTCGTGAATAAAATAAAAATATTGAAAAGGGGTAATCCCTCGGAAGCAATGAAAACTACAGGTAAATGCAAATGTTTGATTGAGTCTGTTCATGAGCGTAAAGGGCAACATCCGTCTCGCCTGCTTATAACGGCTTAATTGGTATCCAATTTTCAGCACTTAATGTGCCGGAATCAGTACTCCCGACTGTCCAGAAAAAATATAACGACACTAAAGTGAAGTACGGGGCAACTTTCAAAGCGGTCACACGATAATTGATACCTTCTGTGCTGAATAATATGATGTTTTCTTGTTGTGTACCGCCTTATCATTTTACCCTATTTACCTCAAAATAGTAACCCAGTGTGTAGCACATCTAAAGATTTTACCGTTCGAAGAGTTTGCAAGCCGGTTCATGAGGTATGATTTTCCAGTCCTGTATAGCCCAGTAATCGCCAGTATCACAAGTTGTTTATCAATCTCTTGAAATTTGCTTCAGTATGTCCTCGTCAACTTTGAATTTCCCATTATCATCTGTAGTTACTAAGCACTTTGGCGCTTCAAAAATACTAAATAGGTCATTGAAATTATGACTATGTTACCAGTGTTATAATGTTTTTCATAAACAAAACCATCTAAATAGCGATTTCATATTTATGAAGATCAAGTGTACATAATTATATTTCGCTAAAGCCATTGTTAAAAACAGTAAGAACATTTAATAATGATAACACAAAACGTTTTATTTAAAAATTATATTACAATAATGATTGGTTCTGCAGAACGTTCTGTCATTATTTAGCTTTGTTTTATCTCCTTAGTTGTTCTAAAACGCTCCATTGTACTTGAATAATGTGATCGGATAGTAAACGTTTTCAATTTACTGTGTACAAGTTGCTTTAAAACGATCATGTTATTTCAGATAAAATACGTTCGAGCAATTTGCTGAAATTGCTGAATGTGTAGCCGTATGAAAGGCTTCAGTAGGCTTGATATAGATTCATTCCAAATACATGTATTTGGTGAAATATGTCATAATATAGTCCTCAAGTCATCTTAACATCTCATTGCGCTCTATCTTAAGTGATAAAGGATTTTGAAGTTGTGAAATTATCTGCCAAAGGTGATAACCTATCTGGTAGTCCATAAACCTCTGTACCATCCTAATGATAACTGTCCTCGAATAGGATATAAGACTGACAATAAGAAAAATAGCAAGTTGTACTGGCATATCAGAAGCCAATATGCACACACTTTTTAACAAGTGTGTGTACCTTAAAAAAGGCTGTAACTAGGTATATAGTCGGTTTGCACAGCGAGGAATGAAAGAAGCTATGCCTTAAATGTGTCCCGATATTTTAAGAAAATTTAAAAGCTTCGATAGTGTGGCTACTTGTATCAGTAGACAAGATTGTTAAACATGTTTCTCCAATTTAAATGGGACAGTTCTTCAATTATTTACCATTTGGCCATACAGCCACTGTATGTGTTAAAAATAATTGAAGAATTATTTGCAAAGTATTTTCAGTGATATGGGCTGTCTTACAAGTGAGACAGTGTTAAAGAAACTCCAAAGAGGACTAAAATAAGTTAAAGTCCCATACATCATTGCCCAAACACACACTGAGGCAATTTTACATATCTGCTGTTAAAAATTGGATATAAGGTTTGTTAAAATACAAAGGTTTTGAACAAAGCATGTGAGAAACGGAGCATGTAAGAAATACGTAAACTATCTTTATTTGCCGGACCTTCCTATAAAATATGATAAACTGAGTTTAAAAGAGTAAAAATCGAGAAATATCTGAAGAAATTTACCTCATGTGTTTACCCTCGTTCATTGTCGTGTCGGGTTAGATTAGTAAATTTGGATAAAATACCAATCTCCTGTAAACATATACACATTGTTTAAAGCTGCTATCCCATACATTGTAGTTCGGGTGTTTTTTTTTAAATAAATTGTCATCAAAAGATATAATTTCGACAAGGCTTGTACACTTATATTGAACTAGATGATTAATGTCTTGTCCGACGAAAAAAATCTCTAAGTAAGATTTGCTATGTTTATAATGCAGAAATTATTAACTTTTGCAAAGCTTTATTTTGTAAATATTGGCTAATTTATAAAGACGTCCGTTAACTGTTTGCACGTAGATTCGTTGGTTACGGATAAAACAGCTGTGCTCTTTATCTTGCAAACAATTGCTGCACAAAATATCATTGAAAATTATTTATATAAGAAGAGACAAAAAAGAAGAACATATCCCGGTAATCCGGTTTAAAACTGACATTTATATAGAAGGTTCTACCTGCTGGCTACATGAGAACAGGCGTGATAATAGGAGTTTTAATATCTTTGTCAAGTGAAACATGACAACCGTTAGGTCAAAGATATCTCGTGAAAACTGCAAAATTTACGTCTATACATATTTATAAATTTGGTAACAAGATTAAACATGCAATAAAGCACATGTTGATTTTATTTAACTACCCCTCTGACGCTCTCGAATTCTTTATATAAAATAGTTAGTGCATTAACCCTATTACTATTAATTGTGAAAACCATATTCACTTGTTTCAAGACTATTACTCTCTTCTTTTTACATATAATGTTTAAATAAATATAACGTTTTATATATATAAAGTAGGAAACAGTTGATTAAATTTAACATTTATTTGTAGATAATATAACGAAAGAAGGGCATTCCTGATAACTATCATAATGTCAAATTTATCTTATTGTGATTATATAATATTTAATCACTTTACCTAGTTATAAAATCAACTTAGTTTACAAACTTAAGATGCGTCACATAACATTTATGTATTGTTTTACGGTGCACGGATTAACATCGTTAGGATAGGATAGGGTTTATTAAACAGACTTGACGGCAGGTAGAATGTTGGATTGTGAAATAGGCGAAACGGATTCGAATTTCGGAAGGTGCATGTCACTTTAGTTGTAGTTGATCATGACAAGTAATTTATGGTCAAACACATTGTACCCTTGCACTTGTATGTACAGTAGTTATTAGTTCTTTGCCAAAGTGAAGGTTATTAGTACATGTATTGGTAAACTGCTTGGCAGACTGTCAAGGAATGACATTTATGTCATTTCTGACAACCACTAGGTATCTGTCAAGTATTCCTTGGAGCTTGGTACAAAAATTATCTCAGCTATTTTTTACATTTTTTTATTTACTTTCTGTTGATTAATTTACTAAATGCTCCACTTGCTAGAGATGAATCGTACTCTGCTGGATTGGCTGAATCTATTTTTCTGGCAAATACCAGTACAATAATTTGTGTTCTGTAGTCCTGCAGGAGTTCATCTTACTTCGCTCATGTGCAGTAGCTCCAACCAATTAAAAATTAAACTACATGTCTACTTTGAGAATCGTGACAGTACGTACATCATGTTAGACATTCCCGACTTTGTGCGTGAAAAAAATGTGTATAATAGAAATTTAACAGTGTAAATTTATTTTCTTTCTGGTTTATTAATTTTAAGATACTTTATCAACATTAAATAACTCTAACATTTCAAATGTTCCGTCGTGTATCGGAAAGTATCAAGTAAGTAATATGAATGACTTTAGTTCGTCGTCGTTGTTGTCGGCTTCCTGCAAAACCTTTAATGTAGCCCAATGTTCAATCATTATAAAAGTTATTAACATGAAACTAGGACACAGTACCATTTTCGAGTGTGTCAGAGTGGTAGTAAAATAAAACTTACATGTGCTTTATTATTTTTTATATTTACTCATATAGAATACGAGGTTTAGCTGCACATGATGCAATTGTCAGACAAGGGACATATTTCTGAAAGCTATATTTTTGGACTTATGTCCCTGTTAAACTCTTGTTTTAGTAAGTTCATCACTGTAATAATTGTCTCTCTTTACGGTAGGCCTATTTTACTAATCTTAATTTTAAATATGTTATACATTTATTTATATTTAATGATCAACATTATTTTTTGTCCAATCATGTTGCAGTATTTTTTCAAATTTCTGCTTTGTCTAACTTTGTATAATGTGTACTTACTAAATAAAATTTACTTAATCCGTCGTCTAACCAGTGTAACTAAATTCAATATTGCATTATATTAGGGAGGAGTTAGAGGTGTGGTTTGCACTCTGAAATGTAAAATATGTAGGTACAGCATAAGCGGGAATAATAAACTACCACAAAAATAAAAAAAAGTGATCTGTTTTTCAAAGGAGCAAATCAATAGGGATTTTTTTAATGTTAGTGAATAACTTGCATCAAATAACAAATTTGTATCAATTAATAAGCTCATAATAATTTTCCTCACATTTTCAATTTATTTTAAAAGAATGTACACATTCCATTGACTCCGTTGCTTTTAGCTAATTGTATCATTTTCCCAGACATGATATTCTTACTGTAGACAAAGGTATAAATTCGGGGCATTTTATTTTAAAAAATGTGCCTGATTATATGTTGAAAGGGCCAACTAATTAGCTTATCTAAATGTGACATGTAAGGAACTTGACTAGGTTTAGACATCATGTGTTTGTGTTGTATCACTATTTTGTGAAAACCACAAAAGGGCGGGCTATATATAGGCGACAATGTTCACGCAGTTTATAAAAATGCCTTGTTTTTTGTTGTAAAATAATGTTGATCATTGAATAGGTTAATTTTTAGTAATACGCATTAACAAAAATAGTTTGTCCCATGCCTACGGCACGGTTGACCAATTATTTTTGTTAATACATATTATTTAACACTAACCTATATTTATTGTTGTTACATGCTGAGGTCAAAGTATCTACACACGATTTAAATTTAAACAACTATTAAACGTGCATAATACAAAGCACTGATAAAAAGTCTTATGTTTCATATTTAAGTTCAGATACATGTTTGTATAAAGTCGGAACGGTTGAAATAAAATCTGTCTGCGTCGCGCGTGACAGACTGGCTTTATAAACACTTTCCTAGTTACGGATGACATTTAACACTGTGCAAGTATGATACACTGAGTCAATAGCATAAAAATGATGAAATACATTGAATGTATAAAAGAATTTGCACAGGTAGTACACTGTCCCAGGACATGTCACCAATCATGTTCATAAAGTTTAAAGTTGCCAACTGGTGACCTATTAATTTTGAATCCAGTAATTCACTGAGTATGTGGTTGTTTTGTTTTTTTGTCTTTTGTGTGTGTGTGCGTGTGTGCGCGCGTGAGTGCGTGCGTGCGTGCGTGTGTGTGTGTGTGTGTGTGTGTTTGTTTTCTAAGTTTAATAATGGTCTTTCCGCCCTTTCAGTCACTGTGACCCCGAACAGGTCACCAAGCATGTCCTTAAATAGTATTAAAGTTGCCAAATGGTGACCAATTATTTTTGAATGCAATACAGGCAGTTAAACAATGGGGGAAGTTATATTAACCAAGATATAATGTTGAAATTAATGCAGAAATCAAGATGAGAAGGATTATCTCCCTTATTCATAGAAACATCAAGCTACAAAATAGAATAAAATCTCATGAAATCAAAAATGAGATCTCGACCTAGACTTAAGTATTGAGTTTGCTGGGCCACTGGCAGGCCTATCAGTTATTTACACTTTCTGTGAGAGGCCAGCAGCTGTAGGATTGAACGGTTTTGGACCTATTTCATCATCCTTCTCCTCAGATCAGACATTTTCTGTGATGCCGGCGCTGGAAATATCAAATTTAAGTGGCATTTTGTCCTTGTATAAAAAGGATTTAATCATTTAAACTTTACTAATGATCAAGAAGCAAACGATGGCTCATTTGTATGGCAAATAAGTATTTTTTCAAGAAACTGTAACAAACACACAAGAAATAAGCGATTTATTTTAGCTTGATTGTATTTTTATACTTATATGATTCAAGGTGTTTTCAAATACTAAACTAAAATGTTTAATTTCCATACATTTCTTAAAAATACATTTCTTAAAATTACTTTCTTCTAAAATCTTAATGAAACCCTAGTGTTTCATATTGCATTTTAAGTTTACTTAGTCATACATTTTATATAATTCAAAAGAAAGACAACAAATATTTTAGTATAAGTGCATGTATTTTATTATAATATGAACTTGAAACATGACGAAGATTTATGTATGTTATTTGACAATATACATGCAGGCTGGACTCGGTGGTTATAAATGTCAGAAAGATTAATAATGTACATGAGAATATACGTGTTTCATAACAATTTATGTTAAAAGCTGTCATTATAAATAGTGGTCTCAACGCCCAGTCTAGGAAGTTCGAATTTGATAGTTGACTTGTACACTTGTGTATCAGTAATAAAATATGAAACATCTGTGCGTTCTCTCTCCGTAATACGACACTAGTACTAGCCGTATGAGACCAAATAGATTTACTTTCTTTTTTTTATTTCATTTTTAACTGTAAATTATGCAGTTCTGCAATGCAAAACATCAATATTAAATATCATTATTAAATATGAATACAGGATTTGAAAGCAGGCAGTTAATATCACAGATATTTATTTACATTTTCTATTAATTCTATCATAAATTTTCCTTAATTTTTATCATTCATTGTCTTATTATATTACATTTTAAAACTTCCTGATTTCAACATAATGTGTACTGTAACCCCTCTAATTCAAGAACCCTACCTGTTCCCCATTAATTAAAGATCCATATCTTTAACCCCTCTAGTTAAGGAACCTTTCCTGTATTACATTGAAGTGACATTATGCTCATATTTTCATAGTGAAGTTGAGCTGAACTGACTATATATTTCAAAAGATAGTGATTGACTAACGGTTCATATTGGAAAATGTTTAGGATAAAATTAAATCTGCCTAAAATATAAATAGACTGCCTCACTCTTTTTATGAAATGAGCGTAACAGGTTAATTCTATTGGATATTTACGAAAATATCGTTTGAATCCATGCGTTGTTTATTATCATTTCAAATTATTTTTTATATTAAAAGGAATTATGGCAAAAGGAAAACTTATTTTGACATTCACTTGTTCTTGGATTGGCATAATGTCAATTTAATTAAAGAACCATATATTTAACCACTCTTGTTCAGGAACCATTCCTGCACTTCATTAATTCAAGTATTATATCTTTAACTCCTCTGATTCTAGAAACCTACCTGTACCCCATTAATCAAAGAACCATATCTTTAATCACTCTAATTCTTAGACCATTACAGTAACCCATTAATTAAAGAACTATTATTTTATCTTTCACTTCTTTAATTCATGAACCATATTCGCACCCAATTAATGAAATACCCTTATCGTTAACACTTCTAATTCTAGAACCACACATGTACCCCATTAATTAAAGAACCATAATTTTATCTCTTACCATAGTTTAAGTACCATTCCTGCAACCCATTAATTAATAAACCTTATACGAGGGATGATCAAAAATAAACCGGACTGTGACTGTCAATTGAAGAATTTTCAACCTATCACTTATTGTTATATATCACACTTAATCGGAAAACAATACCGGTAAACTGATGCTTTATCTAATCTGATAACGCAAAAACTTGTCCGTAACAGCGAATTCAAAAACCATGGTAACACACACCCGGCGCAGTGTGTAAATTCAACTTGACATCTGGCGCTTTAAGCTGCGTATATATTCACAATATGGCACATTTAGATTTCAAAATACGCCAAAACGTCATGAACATACTTTGACGTTGTCAGTAAAAATGACTTCATTTAAACCATATTTATATTTGCAATCACAATTCAAACGTCACATGTGAATGAAATATTCCCGTTAAAACTATGTCGTCGGAATGTATCAAAAATCGATCAATAAGAAAAAAATTGTCAAAAGTAAGACGAGAAACTGTTTAAAACGTAGAAAAAGATTATGGGTATCAAGGGAAAATTTCCAGAAAGCCACAGCATATGTTTTGAATAGCATTAAGAATTAAGAAAGGGTAATAGAGAAATTGAGAACAAGTAAGGTAGAGACAGAAAAATAAATTTTCAAGGACGTTGGTGACGCCAAGACGTTGAAAAATAACAGTCGATTGACTGCGGACATTGTCAACGATGTTCGAGAGTAGCTACGGGACGGTGCAGTGCAAATCTAGAGGTTTTAAATGATAACCAGTTAATGCGCATTTATTATATATATTGTATTCTTGGGTTTACAATTGTATCAATTATTTTCTTATTTTAGCGCAGTAGTTTTTATGGAGAAATTGTGTCAACAATTAGTGAGTCACTGTTCAAAATCGGCTATGCGTTCTCAGTATTTCTTAAAATAATGAAATTTTGTTCATAGCTGTATCTTCTTTTATTTTTTTCTATGTATGATACTTATCATTTCAGCAACATTATTTTAACATTTCATACGTATTGTAGTACATAATATAGGTCTTTTGCAATGTGCGATTTTTCCAACAATCAAGTTACAGAAGGAAAGAACGGAAATTTGCGTCATTACAGGAGCTCTTTATCATCATCCATTTTTAAAAAAAATACAATATGATACCTAATTGTACAGAAATATATGGGCAGTGGATCCGCCGCATCAACAACATGATTGTACCACGTATTGGCCTACTCCGTGAATGAGTAAAAAGCTGCTACGAAGGAAAATACGCTTGCGACGTCGTTCACGCCAATTTCAAGTTATACCGTGCGCCGCATTGCTTTACATGTACATACCAATAACAGCATAACTTTTTTATTTGTCAATGTTTCTTGTTGGTTTTTTTGTATCATTTAGGGGATAGATTCCGATTTATTTTCCGTGTATTTTTATTTAAATTCATTTAACAGGTAAAGAATCATGTACAAAGTCCGGTTATTTTTTGATCATCCCTCGTATCTAACCATTTTAATTCAGAAACCATACCTGTACCTCATTAATTGAAGAACCATAATTTTATCTTTACCTTATTTAAGAACCCTACTTCACCACATTCACTCAAAAACCATATCTTTATCTTTAACTACTTTAATTCAAGAAACATACATTTACCTCATTATTTAGAGAACCATAATTTCATCTTTATCTTTAACTACTTTAATTCAAGAATCATAACTTTATCCCAATAATACAAGAACCATATCTTTACCACCACCCCCCCCCCTCCGGACATAATTTCAGTCACGGGCAGACACTTTATACAGAACAGTTATATTATCTTCTGATAAAACTTAATAGAATATGATGTGGGCTGTCTTTAGAAGGTGTATGATAATAATAGTGTAGAGATACGAGGAAAAACTGATTACCTGTACCGTAAACACAATATATCTTTATTTAGTTAAAACATTTCAGACTTTTTGGTTAACAAGGACAAATTTAAACTCCAACGTAATAATAGTTTATAAACGGATAATTTTGTTCTAGATTATATGCGGACATTTTCATATCAAATTTTATTGAAAAAATGAAATTCCTTCTCTCTATACTCATTATCATTAATAACTTGATTGTGTTGCTTGCAAACAATGATAACTGTAGAGAAAACGATCTGAATGCTTTAATGGTACGTCTGCGTGTACTTCGAACAGATTTTGCCGACTTGAAAACCAAGCACGATGAACTGATCAATCGTATCGATTTAATAAATAACACTCAAGCAGGTCTCAAGGAAGCGAATGATAACCAAGAAACAGAACTTAAAAAGCTTAAACAAGAAATCAACAGTACATCTTCAGAAATCAACACAGAAAACAGAAAACAAGATACAGAACTAACCAAACTTAGGCAAGAAATAGATGCAATAAAAGAAGGTATTCTATTAAAATATTTATTCTAAGATGACAGGGCATTTTAAGATGACTCAACTGAGGTATTCTTTCACATGAATGGGTCAGAACCTTTTTTCAAGATATCTATACCATTTGATTTAGGTCTATACCAACACTATGTACGAAATTTCAGAACAGTAAAAAATGGTCATAACTCTTTTCCATAGTTACCACTTTCATTCCTAAAATTAATTTACTGAAAGAAAAGAAAAAATAAGACTCCAATCGGTCTAAAAGTTGCTCTAAAATTAATTTTCTGTATAGGACTTATTATATTTCTACATATATTCCATTTTAAGTGCCCCAGCTAATTTATGTAAAATTTTCAAATTTTATGTTTTAGGGTTTTGGACCTCAAAGGAGCTATTTTATGTAACTTCACAGTAAGATTCAAGAGTTACTACAACACTTTCAGTGTAGGAACTCGAAAACATATGTTATATGTCCACTTCCAGGTCTGCTTGAAAAAAAGATTCCCATCATTTGTCGCGCGCATGAACATAAACTATTTATGTGCCGATTATACACATTATTTTGCAATTCAATTTGAAATCCTCCTACTCAATCAAAATCTGCTACAAAGTTGAGTCATCTTAATGATTATGAAATTCATTTTGTGTCGCATGTAGCTCAAAAAGTATTTTACCTATAGTTATGAAACTTTACAGAAATGTTACTCAAGTTCTGTACCTGGGTCTCGCATGTAGATTAATTATGTTTTGTCAGAGTTATTGCCCTTAACTGGATAAAAATTTGCAATTTTCAGCTTGTGTCGCACAGAACTCTAAAAGTATTTGACCTAAGGTCATGCAACTTTACAGGAATGTTGATAAGCATGTGTAGATGTGCATCTTGATATTTTCGTGTAGAATTATTTTGTATTTGTAGAGTTATTGCCTTTTACTTAGTGAAAATTTGCAATTTTCAATTTGTGTCGTGCGTAGCTCAAACAGTATTTAACCTAGAGTCATGAAACTTTACATGAATGTTGCTCAGCATGTGTTGTTGTGCACCTTTGGTTTCGCTTGCATGTGGATTTATCCAGTAATCAAGACTTATTACTCTGGACTTAAAAACCCTGGAGTAAAAACCGTTCCATTAAGTTATGTCATAACGGATAATTTTGTTGTAGATTATATGCGGACATTTTCATATCAAATTTTATTGAAAAAATGAAATTTCTTCTCTCTTTACTCATTATCATTGATAACTTGAATGTGTTGCTTGCAATCTATGATAATTGTAGAGAAAACGATCTGAATGCTTTAATGGTACGTCTGCGTGTACTTCGTACAGATTTTGCCGACTTGAAAACCAAGCACGATGAACTGATAAATCGTATCAATTCAATAAATGCCACTCAAGCAGTTCTCAAGAAAGCAAATGATAACCAAGAAACAGAACTTCAAAAGCTTAGACAAGAAATCAACACAAAAAACAGAAAACAAGATACAGAACTTACCAAACTTAGGCAAGAAATAGATGCATTTAAAGGTATTCTATTAAAATATTTATTCTAAGATGACAGTGCATTTTAAGGTGACTCAACTGAGGTATTCTTTCACATGAATGAGTCAGAACCCTTTTTGAAGATATCTATACCGTTTGATTTAGGTCTATACCAATACTATTTACGAAATTTCAGAACAGTAAAAAAATGCTCATTACCCTTTTTCATAATTATCACTTTCATTTCCAAAATTAATTTACTTAAAGAAAAGAACAAAAAGACACCAATCGGTCTAAAAGTTGCTCTAAAATCAATTTTCTGTATTAGACTTAGTATATTTCTACATATATTACATTTTAATTAAGTGCCCCAGCTAATTTATGTAAAATTTTCAAATTTTATGTTTTAGGGTTTTGCACCTCAATAGAGCTACTTTAAAATGTTCAGTGCATAATATTTTAATAATAAAAAATCTTGTTTGAAATTAAAGATAGTGTTGTTTGAAAATAGTTTATTATTCAGGTTGAAGACAAACTACTGCAAAATCATTATGATCAACAAATTTCATGCTTTTTCTTGAAAATGATAAAATATGATCCAATGAAATTATGTTTCGTCTGCTGTAAGATTACTTTGCACAACCCGATGTGCAATTTACTTTGTTTTGCAAAAACAGACATTCCATAGATTACACAAATACACGAAAATTTCTTTTTAGATAAAACCATGGCATTTTATGCCTAAGAAACTATTATATTATGTGAGTTCACAGTAAGATTCAAGAGTTACTACAACATTCCAGTGTAGGAACTCGAAAACATATATTATATGTCCACTTCCAGGTCTGCTTGAAGAAAAAAATATTCCCATCGTTTGTGGCGCGCATGAACATTAACTATTTATGTGCCAATTATACACATTATTTTGCAATTCAATTTGACATCCTCCTCCTCAATCAAATTCTGCTACAAAGTTGAGTCAACTTAATGATTATGAAATTCATTTTGTGTCGCATGTAGCTCAAAAAGTATTTGACCTATAGTTATGAAACTTTACAGAAATGTTTCTCAAGTTCTGTACCTGGGGTTTTGCATGCAGATTTATTATGTTTTGTCAGCCTTATTGCCCTTGACTGGATAAAAATTTGAAATTTTCAGCTTGTGTCGTACGTATCTCATAAAGTATTTGACCTAGGGCCATGCAACTTTACAGGAATGTTGATAAGCATGTGTAGTTGTACATCTTGGTATTTTCGTGTGGATTTATTTTGTATTTGTAGAGTTATTGCCTTTTAATTTGTGAAAATTTGCAATTTTGAATTTTGTGTCGTGCGTAGCTCAAACAGTATTTAACCTAGAGTCATGAAACTTAATATAAATGTTGCTCAGCATGTGTTGTTGTGTACATTTGGTTTTGCTTGAATGTGGATTTATCCAGTTATCAATACTTTTTACCCTGGACATAAAAACCCTGGAGTAAAAACCGTTCCATTAAGTTCTGTTATTTGTTCCTTGTGTGATTTAGGTGGAATCAACCAATTTAACAGGAAAAATGATCAACATCACTGTGAAGCTGTGCACCTTGGGTTTCGCATGTGGACTTTTTACAGTTTTGTTTGTCTGTGCATTTATCCAGTAATGAAGACTTATTACCCTGGACTTAAAAACCCTGCAGTAAAAACCGTTCCATTAAGTTGTGTTATTTGTTCCTTGAGTGATTTAGTTAGAATCAAACAACTTAAGGTGACAACAGACACTTTCCGTGGTACTCACATAAATGTCATTTAAACCAACTTATTTTAGTAATAATTGTTATTTATTTAATCTTTGTGCATTAAATGTCGTTGATCAACATAAAAAATAACATATTTGAAAAAAATGCCTTTGTAAATGATTGATTTTTAATAAAAATCCTAAAATTTTAAATCGTCATATCAAAGTCATTTTTTTATTTTTTTGTCATCAAACTTTTGGAAAATAAACATACTTATAATATCTGGGGAACCGTGTCTCAAATTTTTTCTATCTTTTCTCAAAAAAATATTACGTAACGTCAAACATTTTATGCGACTTTTTTCACCATACATATTACGTAATTAAAGATAATTAAGTCGCTGATCGAGCAAACAAAAATCCCTGACACGGTTCCCTCCGTAAATAAATTCCCTTTCATGTGCTTTAAACCGCATGTTAATTGCTTGATTATTAAAAAAAGTTATGCCGATTCAAAGTTAGTCCGACCCGCATCAAACGAAGTGTCATAAATCGGCTGTTCTCTCTCGGACCCCTACGTTTCACGCTAAATAATTGCATAATACACAAATATTCGCACCAGAGAGGGTCACAAGTTGCGCTAACATACTCTAACAACATTTCATGACCAGTGACATCTGACCAATTAAAAAGTTGCTGATTAATATCAGTTTATAACAGAAATTTCTTCAAATCTTAACGTGATTTACTGTCGGTCGCACATGTCACGTGACTTTCGGTAAAATTTGAGGCACTCGGTGGGGGGAAATGGAACGTATTTGCGCACCGCTAGCGGGGTATTTAATTGTTTCACTTTTGAAGATTATTATTATTATCATCAGCATTATTATTATATTATACCAGAGTCACTCTGTCTGTGTATTCGTGTATAAAATTCCGTTAAAATATAAAATAAAATAACAAAAAACAGAGCTTCTGATGGTCTTTTAAAGTCCATGGTAAATGTAAAAATAAAAACGAGATATTATATATTTCTTCCTCCAAATTGAAATAAATGCTTGACATAATTATTACAATAGAAGAAGAAGGTATCACTCGATCATTATGATCTGACCTTTATGACTTCTTTTATCATGAAAATCATCTATGTACGGCATAGATATCCAGTTTCTACTGGGATATACAATAAATTCCATACTTTGTCCCAGGTTTATTAGTACTGTGTTCGATTTACTGGCGAACAATTTATTCAGAGCATTCACTGATAGTATATATTAATATCTTTTTTTATTGATTCATAGAGAAATGATCATCCTTAAACAATCTAAAATGGTTTAGAAATTAGTCAGGGACACCTTACCACAAGTCATATAGGCGTTCACATAAAAAATGTTGTCTGTTTTTGTTGTTGTTTTACTTGACATTGTTAGAAAACGAGGTTGAATGTAAAGCAAGCGATGAATCCGTACAAAAGTCCATAAACTCAATGTAATATCTATCAGATTAACGGGACAGACAAATTATTTTCACACATTATGGATATTTTAGCAACTATATTTTAAATCAACCCGTGGTCGTGCGATTTGCCGCTATGCTTAATTATTTATGTTTCATACATTATGTTACGTACATTGGCCGACAATTTCTTATTTTATAAAAATACTTAATAAAAGGTAGACGATATTCATAAAAGATGTACGGTATTTGTACGATACATGAATTACGAGTAGTATGGACAAGTATGGACGGGTAATTCACGGATATATGGAACTACCCGATTTCCCTCATTGATGCCTCAACAGGGGGGCGAGCGTTATCGATAATTGACAGGTTACGCGAATAGCAGATAAAATGGTACAGGTACCGTTTAAAAACGTTTAAAAACACATTTTTTGGACTAACTGCTTCCAAAATTAAATCACGAATGTGTTCAGAAAAGGTTGATAAATCTACTAAGCAAAGAATCTCATTTTAGGTATTTTCAGTAATAATTGACTCCGTTGTCACCTTAACAGGAATAGTGATCAATATCACTGTGAAGCTATGCACCTGAGGTTTTGCATGTGGATTTTTTCCAGTTTTGTGTGAGTTATTGCCCTTGACTTAGTACAAATTTGCAATTATCAACTTGTTCATGCATAGCTCAAAAAGTGTGTGACCTGTAGGCATGAAAGTTTACAAGAATCGGGTCAGGACGTGTACTAATGCAACTTGGGATTTGCTTGTGGATTTATTCAGTATTTGTAAAATTCTTGCCGTTAACTTAGTGAAAGATTTATGGTTTTCAACTTTTGGCACATTCAGCCAAAACAATATTTGACCTACGGTCTTAAGATTGACAAAACAGTGGAGAATTTCAACCAAAGTTGGCAGGATTGATCCTTGGGTGAAAGGCTTCCTCGGGTGTTCAAAGACTTTCATTCCATGCAGAAATCTGGTTGCAATGGCAAGCAAAAGGAACTATAAGAATAAATTTAAAAATCTTCTTAGGCCTAGAGCATAGATATTTTGCATAAGGCATTGTCTGGTAGACCTCTACCAAGATTGTTCAAATTATAGCCCTGGGATCAAAATTGGCCCCGCCCCGGGAGTCATTAATTTTCACTATATATACATATATAAAAAACTTAAAAGCCCCGCCCCGGGGGTCATAGGTTTTCCTTTAATGTATTTTGTAAAAACTTAAAACATCATCTTCTCTAAATTGACAAAGTCTAGAGGTTGATATTTTGAATGAAACATTGTGTAGTGAACCTCTAGCAAGATTGTTCAAATTATAGCCCTGGTATCAAAATTGGCGCCGCCCGGGGGTCATTGATTTTCACAATGTACATATAGTAAAACAAAAAATATTCTTGTCTGAAGGTATAATGTTTAGAGCTTTGATATGTGGTATATGATATCAGCTATAGGTACTCTATCAACGTTGTTCAAATTTTGCCTCTAGTGTCAAAATTAGCCCCGCCCCAGGGTCATAGGTTTTTACTTATATGAATATTGTAAAAAATCAAAAAAAATCATCTTCTCTAAATTGACAAAGGCTAGAGGTTAGATATTTTGCATGAAACATTGTGTAGTGAACTTCTAGCAAGATTGTTCAAATTATTTCTCTGGGGTCAAAATTTGGCCCGCCCAGGGGGTCATTGATTTTCAGTCACTATGTACATATCGTAAAAAAAATCTTCTTGTCTGTAGGTACAAGGGTAAGAGTTTTTATATTTTGTATATAAATATTTATTAACTTCCATCCGTCCTTTTTATCATATAAAAACGACAGAAACAACATTAACAATATGTTGAAGAGGAAGTTAACTGTCTCTAGTTTATCTGGA